GGTGCCGTTTTTTATTTGTCATGGTGTACATTGTGTTACTAGGCAATCACCGATTCTCCAGCCCAAACAAAAAGTTACATTTTACACACTCGTCCAGTTCACATCTTCATCTTGCAGCTTTGGGTCGAGAAGGTCATGTATTGTCTGCTGTTAAGGTTGCGGACGGTAACCTTAGACTCCTTGTCTAATGTAATTGGGACTTACAATAGTAAAAACTAAATCTGAGAATACTGTGGCCATGCTAGTGATCCCAAGTTTTGCGTGGTCTTGGTCCTATTGAAAAACAGAACATGATTTATAAAAACAAAGTGCAAAGAGCCTTAAGTTCATTGCATAGGTAACTGTGTTCCCATGTGATTTTCTTTACAAGGAGTTTAACAGCGCATGTAAAATCTGTGTTTTTAACTATTCAGTTCTCTTCCAATTAATGTATGAGTATGAAGAGGGGAGGGGCTCTCTGGCCATCTCTGCCATTGTTAATTTGTGCTTTTCCTGCCTGTCAGTTTGGCCCCATATGCTTTAGTTTTGGCTCAAAGCCTCCCTTATGTCACATCTGTGCTCTGAGCTGTCAGTGTTCTCTTCCAAGATAGGGTTATTTTTATTTTTTTATTTCTACATGTCATCCACTCCCAGAAAGGAAACCTCAAAATAAAAGCTTCGGACATGTTCTGAACTCCTGGGTTCTCGTAGTTCTGTTAGCTGACACAGCCAGGCTTTCCCACAATGACCAGCATCAATACCAGCCATTACACTGGTGTCTTCCTTGGTAGCTGATTGACCAGGTTTTGACTGAGCTGTTCACTCATTATGTCGTGTAATTAATCTTGCTTTCTCTTCTTTCTAACGAAGTACTATAACTTGGAAGTTGAAAAAACTGTATTTTTTTTCAATTTGTGTGCTCTGTTCATTAATTAACACAGTTCCATTATGTAAGTACTTTAGTTAAAAGTATTGCAGTAACTGCAAGCTTCCCGCGTAGAAGCTGCGGGAAAATCAGATGATGAATGTGCAGGATTTGGCCGACGCTTAAAGTACATCCCTCTGCTGGCATTTAGTTACTTGCTAATAAGACTATAAAGTATGAAAACTTGGATTGTGAGAGGATTTATGATTGTCTACAGTGATTTCACGCCCATGTCACCTTTAACAATCAGTGGACTCCTCCCTAAGAAAATATTTTTGTCCCCCATAATTGCCAGCTGACTTAAAATTAACCTATCAGGAGACTCACAGTTCCAGACACAGGAAAAGTGTTAAGTGCTGTGTTTTTCTTTTTGACATTTTTTCCCCAAATACGAAGTCAGTGCATAAGTGTAAACTTGTCCAAGTCTGAGTAAAACCAGGAGATGAATGTGATAATTACTCTAATGAATTTGAATTAAATGACACAAGCAGTAGAACTCTAGACAGCACAAATGCAAATTGGCTTCTTTGTAATGTACTGTTACAGGGAATGGAATTCTGCCCAGTAATCAAAGACACTGTGGATTTTATTTACTAATATTAATACGTTCATCATGAAGACATAAGCAGCACTAAATCTGAAATATTTATCGTTATTTGACAGGTAGTCTTTTATTCACTGGTTTTGCTGGGGATACTGCTGTAATATGACCGCATATTTACAAGAGAAAAGCCGCCAAACATGGATATTGATCATAGCCACTTCCACCTAATTGACTCGATTTTTCTCATGCAGACAAACCAGCTAAAACTCTTTGACTGATCACACTTATGCGCTTTTCCACTGCCCCAAAGAACCAAGCAATACCTGACCTGTTCCACGAACTGGCGCTTTTCCATTACAAAATATACAAGCCGTACCCACACAGACACAGCCCTGCTTACTAGCAGGACGGAAAGCATGACCAAACCGAGCTGGTTGTGTCACCACCATCTGATTGGTCGAAATGCACAGAGATACCAGTGATCTGCATATGTATTATCTGAAGTAAAAGGCGTATATTCTATATATTATTTACCAACCTCATACTTGAAAATTACTATAGAACAGCTGAACGGAATGGATTTGTAATGCAAATTTACACAAAATTTACGCTAATTCTGCTAGCGTTACTTACTGCCGATTCTCAGGGATGTGCCAATGGAAATTAGCACAAAGTAAATAAAAATAATAATAATAGCAGATAGTAAATCATGATGTATACCATGTGAACAGTAAATAAGCATCCCTTCGGATTTACGTCACTGTCGCTGTCCAAACTCGGCAATGCCTTTACCGAACCGCCCCAGATGCAGTAGAAAACCGAAGCGAGCTGGAACTGTGCTGTAACTAGTCTCTCTTCGTGGTACGGCTCGGATACGGGTTGGTTCCTGTATACCAGTGGAAACGCTCTATTAGACATCCTCCCCAACACCTGCCCAGATTCTTCAATTTACCCCTAGGATGCAGAACTTGTTGCAACTTTAAGCTGTACTCATTTTTCTTTCAGTTTCTGCATGTTAAGACTTGAAAGGTTGTCCCAAAAAAAGAGCACAGACAGGCTGCTTTTCCCCTACGTATTTATCTATGCTTAGTGGGCTTGCATCCAAAATATTCTACTGTTGTTAGGTAGCTCAACGCAAGACTGAAATGAATCCCTACTTGGTTGTTTTTGCTCCCCCCCCCACCCCGGATCCACAATGAGGCTACAAAGCCATATGTGGCCATAACAGGGCAGTGGTCGAGAAACCATCATGCTAAGTTATCTGGGATGGCAGCGTGCTAACTTTTGCCAAACTGCAAAAAGGAATTTAGTTTCTTTACTGGATAATCCTCAGTATAGTTACTCAACTATTGAGAACTCCAGTTGCTTACAGTGAATGCTTGGAGGAGATGCTTCCTGTGTGTTATCAGAGAAGCAGGGAAGCATAACAGGCTACCTAAAGGGTGCAGAAATAGACAGAGATCCTAGGTTTCCTCCAGATGCCTTTTTCAAATGCATCTTCAAATCCAAACAGGACCAGTTTGGTTGGTTGTGAGTAAATACTTTTGTTTTGCCGTTTTAGAAATGAAATAGTATCATCTTTCGGTCACTTTGGCTGCAATCCTCTTGGACAAAAATGTTTGTAGTTGGTGGACTATTTTTTTGTTAATTCATTAATTTATTTTAAGTCAATTTATCTTTTTTGGAATGAAGCATTAGTTTAACCTTTCTTCCAGCCATTTATCTACATTTATTTTTTTTTCAAAACCATGTGGTTAAGATTTTCGCTGAAGCACTTTTGGTTGAAGGTGTCTTCCTGACTTTTGGTTATCATTTCCTTATCTGCTATGCTGTCTGCAGCTGCTACCCACTTCCAGCTCATACGTTTTGTTTTGAAGTATGGAATTTTCCAGACCGTGCATGTTTGGTCCAGCCACCCTTCATGGGCTTGTTTGTTTAATGCAGGCAACCAAACCAAATGCAAGATTTTTGCACAGATCCAAAGTCGACAAGTTGGAAGTCACACTGTGACACTGATGATGTTTGTCATTCTCCTAAACGGCGGTTAATGAGTTTTTTTTTTTTGTAATGAAAGTCAGTATTAGCTGTGACATACTTTTTTGGCTTCAAACCTGTGTTTTCACTAAGTGAGGTTATTCCAGATCTTGTATGGGGAAGCAAACAGGAAGCCTCATTACTCGTGACTTGTTTTTTTCCTGTAATAATTAGTTGCCAACCAGCCCTATGGAGATTGTTCCATTCGGGGGTCCAATTTTAGTACCAGCTCTCCGCATGGAGCATAAACAAACAAGTCTTGGCTTGGTGCACAAATGGAAACTTCTCCCAGCTCCCCGTCCATTCTGTCTAGTCTTTGGAATCTCTGGGGGAAGAATGAATTGTGTCCCTCAAGGTCTCCTCTTGGGGCCACAGGCTTAGATTTAATTGGACCGTGCCGTCTTGCTTCCGCAGTAAAATAAGGCAGATCTTCCTTTAATGTGGTACATCATTTACATCCATCAGTCTTCCAGTGTCTTGTCCTGAGAAGGAGCCACAGCTTAAGGTCTCTTTGGAAGGATGACATTTAATAATTTTACCGAATTAGCATTATAGGCCTGCTATAATTCAAATGAATTGTCCTACAATGGCTGGACAGAGTCTATCCCTCTTGCATGTGCAGTACCAGTTAAAAGTTTGGACACATCTACCCATAGAAAGGATTATTTGTACTACTCTCTACATTTTTAACATATATAACATATATGGGATAATGCACTGGCCAAAACAGTATTTACCTCTACATAATTTTTGTGAAACAGCCTCCTGGGATGCTTTTCTAGCTGTCATGCAGGAGTTCCCGCATATGCTAAGCATTCATTGGCCACTTTTTCTTCACTCTCTGGTCAAAAGACCATTTCTATTGTGTTTAGGCCAGGTGGCCAGGTCATGTGATGTGACATTCTATCGCTCTTCTCTGTGGGCGGCTTGGCTTGTCCGCATTACATAGCTTAAGGTATTATATATACGGGGGATGAATTTTAAATTGGTACCAGCTTGCATCATTATGGGAAGCGGACAGGAGACTCTTGATACCAAAACATTCAACCATCTTGAAAATCCTTTTCTCATTAATATACGGAGAGAGATGCATGTTGCCCCATCTCCCAAATTTGTGTGTGACTGAAGTTTTTGTTTGTCAGAGCCCCTTAATTTCAGTTAAAGGCATCTGGTTCCTATAGTGATGGTGGCACTTTAAATGTGTTTGTTTGTTTAGAGCTGTGACTAACTCTTGTTGTTGATTGTCTTTTGTGGTGTGTGAAACACAGGAGGTCAAGCTAATCAGCTATTGTTGTTACTATAGTCTTGGCCAGATGGGCTTCTTAAAATGAGGGAAGCCATTTGTATTTCTGCCATTTTGTATGCAAAATGGCATACAAATCAAGAATTGGGAGGAGCTGCCTGACTCAAACTAACGTAATGATTTTCTCTGAATGTAGCGTTTGAGAAATGGTGCAGTTTATCAAAGAAAATGTTTTGACGATTTACATGGGAATGTTTCCCTTTCTTTTTTCACAGAGACCTGAGGTTCAACAAAATAAAGGAGATACAGCCTGGTTCTTTTAGACAATTAAAGAACCTGAACACTCTGTAAGTATTGTTCAGAACAATACAAACACATCAAGTTAGATGCTAACAGTCACATACACACATCCTCCAGACTACAAGGAATGCCAGTTTAACGAATACAGAGAAACCTGGCCAGATGTCAGGTCTGTATGTGTGTCGAATGCTAACAGGAATTAATGGACTGGAAAACAGCATCCTGCTGACAGGAGATAAAATGATTAAAACTGATAAAGTGATCTGGTTAAGAATGTGACATTCCTTACCTACTACAGACACATTGATTTGAAAGAAGCTTTAAATTGGCACTTCCATATACAGACGCTCCTCTACTTACGAACTTTCAGAAGAAAAGGACTGTAAGTCCAAATTGTGTTCATTGGGCTCCCGTTTCCTGTCCGTAACATAAATTTTTTTTTCCGCTATTCCCGCCATGCAGCAGCGTAGCGTGCGTACTCCCAGCACCCTAGTTATTTGTACTGGCGTATACCCTTAAAATGATGTTGAATAACGACTTACGAACATTTCAAGTTGCGAACGGCCGTTCGGAACGTAACTCGTTCGTAAATAGAGGAGCGTCTGTACTTACTCTTCCCTTAGCTGCTCCTAGAGACTCAGGTTTAGTTCTGTTGTGCTTTGAGAGAAGGACCCACACCCGATTAAACTCATCAACAGAGCTGGTAAAGAATCACAGGTCCTGAAGTCTTATTTTCTGTTTTCTCCTCTCTACCAAAGACCACATTCACATTTCCTTAAAAAAAAGACCACTCCTGAAGTTAGTTAACTCATAGAAAAATGTAAAATATTGCAAGAGTGATCCCTTTTAGTCATTGCAACACACCCAGTCCTCATTGCTTATTTGTTCATGCCGGTTCGTAAGTGTGTGGTGTTGGCCGTGTTTAGCACAAATCCAAGCAGAGAGATTGTATCCCTGGCTTGTATCCCAGCAATTCACAGCTGACACACAATACCATTTATGACCACCTTTAGTTTTGCCACAGACCAGATTGCATCAGAAAAAAGGAACTGGGCAGAAATTGTACCATTCCTTTGGATGGCTGCATGACAAGATTCCAATAGTTTTTGGTTAGAACAGTGTTTAGTTTGGCTTTTGCATTGCAGTGTATTATGACAGAATATTTAATATGTATAATTACTATTTGCTGAAACATGCCTTTTCTCTGTTTTCTCACATTTTTTTTTGTCTTTACTAGGCTCCTAAACAATAATCAGATACGAAGAATTCCAAGAGGAGCTTTTGAAGACTTGGAAAACCTGAAATATCTGTGAGTTGGCAACAGGTGACATACATGATAATAAAACAGCAAATTATTTGGCCCTATTGTTAGCTTCAGACATTCAGATGCAGTCATGGCAGAATTTAACTGACAAACCGAAACAAAATATGTACCTGTTCTGTTAATACTGCTGAAGAATCGCAAAGATTAGGCAGCATCACATATTATCGCTGCATGGTTTTATATTGGCTGTGTGTCGGCATTCATCCATGAAGAAGAAATGCATTGTCTCAACAGATGGGTATTGGGGTTTTGGTTCAACTTTTCTCATTTGGTTACTGAAATAGTAGGCACCCCATCACACAAAAATGTAACAGAAAACGTAGCCAACTGGCTGTGCTTCTGTCAGAATGAAGATGTAATAGAAGATGTTGCGAGCTCTTTCCCTTCAGAACCGCAAGCTGTATGCCCCACACAGGCAGTGACGTGAAGCAGTATGTTGGCCATTTTTCCCACGTATCGTGTTAGACCTGGTTATGTTACTTTTGTGGGCAGATTTAGAGGAACATTGAGTCAGAATCAAACGGCAGGCTTCCACGGATACCACCCTGATCTAAGCTTGTGGAACACTTCCTCAAACTCTCCCTCTTGGAGGAATGCGTAGGTTAATTTCTGATTCTGACGAATGCCGACAGAAAGCGGAGTGAACACTAACTGGGTGAGACTGTTATGGCTCAGCCCTCTGATTCTGAAATGCCAGCCTGCTAGCGTACTGGGCAGCATTCCGTGGGGCTGCAAAGGCTCCCAGTTTGCATGTTATCAAACACGCAAGACAAATTAAAACAAATTTGTTAGTAGCCATGCTTTACATTTCCTATTTTGAGAAAGTCAGAGCTCGGGAATCTGGTATTGTGAGTTCAAAGGCGGCCGCAGCAAACCGAACACAATCCCATCTGAGAACTAAATCTACCTTCACCAAATAACGGAGAATTTGATTTAATTTATTCCACCCTATGACCACAAGCTTAGGCCAACTAATACTTCTTATCCATGTATGTTCCAAAATGGCTAATGCAATGAGTTTTTCACTTTTAACTTTTACATTTTATTTTTATGAATAAATACCAAATTATTGTATTAAATTTCTTTTTGTTGCCCTTTTATGTGTTAATCGAAATGAAATCATCTCTAATTAATTAGTTCCTCCTCTCAAGGACGTAGGATGTCTACCAGTCTGACTGTTACTAGTATAAAAAAATTTAAAACTGATTACTGCATCGTAATCAGAACATATATGAGACCAGCACATACAGTTCCCTGTCTGGCAGGACTGGGATCAACATCTCCATTTAGCTTAGTGCTTAGTGGGGTGGGTCTAACCTAGCTCCATCCTGGTGCCACAACATTTACCAGGACCTTTTCCACAACTGAACACTGACCAACTCTTGTCTGTGGGGATGAGGGGACTTCCACAGTCTGACTGCAATCCCCTGTAAGGATTGATCTCTTCCCCACAGTAGGGCCTAAACTGCACTTTCACCCACCACTAATCTCTAGTTACAAAGCTGGTACAGGGAGTGATTAAGGGAGGGGTAATGGGTCAAAAGATTATCAAGCTTATAAAAACAAACAAGAAAAAAAACTGTTAGTTGAATGGCTTTGAAGTCGGCCGATAATTGCATGCAATATGGAGGTCATTAAAGTCATTAATCGCTAAATGATCAAGCTATATTTGTAACAGAGAAGATGACAATATATCAGTAGCGTGTAAGATGAAAATAAATAGTGACTGTTATTTTAACTTTTACTGTAGGTTGGGCCCACAATGGATGGCCAGAGTCACTCCTCCCAAACCCTCCCCACTCCCCCTTGAGTAAAATTCCCACATTTGTTGGTTCCAGTTTCCCATGAATGCATCGAACATGTTCACTTAACTGGCCACAGAAAACCATCTAGATAGTAATAAAATATCTGTTGGTTAAATTGTAACAAAATGTATTCATACTTGTACAACGGCCAAATAATGTATCATTATTATAAGTAAATTTTGTCCTTTGCAACACATTACCTTAATTCCTAATAGCAGAGCTGAGAAAGTGTTGTACTCTGACCTTTTTATCATAGTAATTCTGTGGTTTCAGGATTTTCCCCATACAGAATAATGTGAGAGATTATCTTTGGGACAAATAGATTTTTTCCCATCATACCCTCCCTGTCCTTGTGAGCTTCTTGTCACTTTAAGTTTAAATTAGTGGAAAGCAAAGCTGATAAAATACACTGGATTTGAACACTTCATAAATCTGTTAATTGGTCTCAGTTTCATACCTGGCCTGAGTTTGGTCATGTTACCAATTATAGCTAACAGGAAGTTTTGTGGTGTAACTTGTGGTTTTAAGCTGAGTTGTGGGGAAAAAAGGTTGGTGTTTAAAAATCTACTACTTTGCACAGCACAATGAAATTAAGCACTATAAACGACATTGCCAATGAAGGATGCAATGAATTATCATATTTCAGAGAGCAAATAACCTCTATCAAGATATTAATCAAATCTTATATATTTGCATTGTTGTTAGTAAGTAAACAACTAAATGTTTATAATACATAAGACTCAAAGAATCGAAACAGCAGTGAAACATGTTACATTTCCCTATTTTAATCTGCACCATCTGCTTTTTGGGGGGGGGGCAACAGCTTTTGTGCATCAGCCTTGCAATAATTCCCTGAAATGTTTGAAAATGTGCCTGTGTAGCACTGCCGTGCAGCTGTAACGATTGCCTTTTAACTGCCGTCGACAGCTTTGAAATTAATGGATGCGCATACGTGACCCCAAACAGGCTCATATTTCCAGTGTCAAGAGCCCCCCCCCCCTCCCCAATTTTGCACCTCATCCCTTTCAATGGCACAATATTTAAGTTTAATTTTCCCTCTCGACTGATACCCTGTGTGGTTTACTAATATTACTGATTATTTCTCCTTTCAGCTACTTGTACAAGAATGAAATCCAATCAATTGACAGACAGGCTTTTAAGGGACTTGTCTCTCTAGAGCAACTGTAAGTGACCATATCATCATCCTCCTCCAGCACTCTCTCATGTGCCTGTCTTTCGCAGACCTTAGTGCTTCGTCACGTTGCTGCTGGCCGTGCTGTGATGTCATGCTCCTGCCCCCTCCCCTGCTGTTCTCCAACACAACCCTGCATGTCTGGCACATACCTGTGTTACAGATGATGCTCTGCATCCTTGTGGTCAGACAGGGGGCAGGCCACGTTTTGGAGCCCCTTCATTGAGTGTTTTTTCCCCTAATCTGTCCCTTAACCCACCTTCATTCTGTGCATCTTTCCCCTAACTATTGTTTCGGCCGTACACTGCGTTGGTTTCCTGTCTGGTATGTCAATTCCAATTTCGGTGTTTTGTGTTTTGATAAAACTTTAAAACTGCATGAGCTAAACGTGTGGAATCTAAATGTTGACGTCGCCACCTGATGTTCCTGATGCGAAGGGGTGGGTGGCAATGTATTTAGTTGTATTTCCTGAAAAATACAACTAAAACCAGAGAAACTGTGTCTGTGACAGTTTTTGTTCTTTGTTACCTGTTGCTATATGTGGTATGGATACGCAGTATCGCTTAGATTGGTTTGACTGCGTTAATTTTGTTTCATACAGTAAGGTAAATATACTGCCTTTTGTTTTTTTTGCAGTCAGAAAAACTGTTCCAAACAGTAGCTACTTAAATACCTTTTTGGCCAAGAACAGTTTGACATGACGTTGCGTAATAAGGTTTCTAGATCTTATTCTTCCTAATCCTAATATTATCCAAGTAAGCGGATACATTTAAAAGAGAACAATCGTCCGCTTTTCTTCTCCCTGGGGTACAGCAATGAGCTGTTTTTTCTCTTCAAATGGCAGGTAAATGCCCGTTTTAAGTACTGTGATTTTTTACGCGTACAACAGAGGACAATGGTGGTCTATTACGGAGCCCCACTGACACATCAAACTTAGCCCGAAGGACGAAAAGCGGAGAGGAGTGCGTGTTTTAAAAGATGGATGGATTATTCTGCATTATTCCCGGCCGTAAAAAAAACGAGTGTTTTGGCAAAGTCGCGAACAATGCATCATGGTCTGTAAGCTGCGGTCACCGTATTAACTTAAGGCAGAAATGCGGGCAGGTCGGCTCTCCGAACAAGCAGCTTATTCATGAAGTAGCCCAGCCCGACAGCTGTTTTGAGTTTAGATATAGTCTTGAAGGAGTTTATGCTGGTGACAAGTTCTTACCTTGAATTTTACGGGTCCAGCGTCATGTTTATGTAGATTCCCTCCTGCTGTTTTTACTGACGATATCTAGTGAAAAGAATGACACTCTTGTTTCTGTTCGCCTCGCGAACCCCCCCGCGCTCTTTTCGCTTATAAAATCTCATTCGGATGTTTTTAAACCTGAATTCTTACAGCGCATTTTGGCGGGAAGCGCACGTGGCCCTATTTGTGGATACCCGCATTATTCTTGCAAACCACAAACCGACTTTTTCATTGGTGTCCCTTCACCCTTTGCCTTTGAGATAATTAATTAATGTGTGATTCATTCCACTGTCTCCAGTCATTTTAACGTCCTTTTATTGTCTCTGCACACGCGAATGGCCGAATCCCACCCTATGTGTCTACATCAGACAGTCAGGCTCTCTTTCGGAAAGTATGAAATTACTGTTTTCCCTCACAATGCACTTTGTTTCTTTTATGAGCATTTTATGATTCATTTGTGGCATTTGTAATTATCTGTGGGGGCAATGTCCAGTCACAACTGAACAGTGATGGCTTTTTTCTTATTCCTGCTGGGACCGGATTCAGTCCCATTAGGGAAGTGAAAGTGTGGCCTGGCAGGGCACAAGCACCACCACTAATGGGCCCTGGTCAGCCAGCGCCTCCGATTTTGTGTGACATTTCTGTTGGATGGTACCCGGCGCTTTTTGGCTACAACACCACCATCTGTGGCATCCTGGCTGTACAAAAAGCCCTTTTAGATAAAGGACAGAATAGTCATTCAGTATCATGTTCAGTTTTTTTTGTGCATTTGTCACCAAATCCCTTGTTATAATAAACGTCGCAACTCATGAGATTCCCCCGAGATGGACAGTGCATGTGCAGTGCAGTGCAGTGCAGTGCAGTGCAGTGGATGGATCATCTGAGACATGAGTCCAGTTCGTCTGACAGCTAATAGGGTGGATGCATCTATGCTTCTGATCCGCACTCCTGGTATCTCTAACATCAGGTGTTCAGAAAAAATCTCATTCCTCTTTCATACCAGCTATGCTTTTCTTGTCATGTAGTGATTGGATAATCTGCCTTTGAAATGCTGTAAATGAGAATATTCTTAAAGCCTGTAGCTTTGTCTAAGTGTGTGTTGCTTATTCAGTGTTTAGGCTATTGCAGTTTTTTCACGCTAATGTGTTTTTTTACCGTTTATCTCCCTCCTGTTTGTAGGTACTTGCACTTCAATAACATAGAGACATTGGAGCCTCAGGCATTTACTCACCTCCCAAAACTCGAGCGACTGTGAGTATCACTTCTTTAAGTTCTTTTTCTCTTTTTTTTGTCAGCAAGCCTCATTTAAGCCCTCAGTACTATAGTTTGCCTTTATTGCCATTTTGAAGGAATCGGCATTGATGTCAGCATTGAACGCAGACATCAAAATGAATGTCAGATAACTGCCAAGCCAAGACAGTAGTATTATCTAGTCAGTGGGCTGTCTTTAACAGAAAGAAAAGTGTATATATTGTAATATTTAGCATGCCCTGAGCAATGATAGAATTTTGAACAATCACACTTTTCCAGATGCTTTGTAAAAACAACGTTAAGTAGACAATGTAAGATGGTCAGTTTACTTCGTGGTATTTACAGTAAGTACAGTAATGTATCAGTTTGAGGGGCTGGATTATGTATGCGATATAACTTGTTGATCATGCATGCCCCTTCAACGGGAACAATAAGCAAGGAAAGTAGGAGATAGAATGGGGGGAGAGGGCGGGCTACATAAATTGAATGTCCTCCTCTCCAGGAAGCCGGGGGAGGGGGTGGCCTTAGGCTTTCCCCTGAGATCCTTTGGGAAGTTCCCCGTCCTGGATATTTTGTAGTTGGGGCTTTAGCAGTCCCCCTCGGAGGGCAAGACTCAATATTTGGGCCCCCCTCCCCCCAGGACAGTTAACTTTATGCTTTATTACCATTGGAAGTCGTCGTTTTCTCCTGAAAACGCTTATGCTGAAGGTCATTAATGGAGCTGTTTCCTGCAGGTTCCTGCACAACAACAGGATAACGCACCTCGTCTTTGGGACATTCTCCCACTTGCAGTCCATGAAGAGGCTGTAAGTGGCCACGTGCTGTTCTCACTGCCATGTGAAACCTGACCAGTGGCCGCAGGGAGACCACAGGGACACAATGAAAAGCCGCGTTCAGTGACGATGTCGCCCCTTCAGTGATCTCTGTTTGCGCGGCCTGCTTTAGTATAAAGAGGAAGTACTTAAACTGGCCACACGTTTTAGATGTGAATTCCCAGTTTCCTCTGAACTAAGGCCAGCGTGGTTCTGCGGACACAGGAAATTGTGGAAATATATGGAAGTAATTTTATTCTAATTGTCTGCGCTTGCATGTTCACGTTTCTGCTTAGTGATGTTGGTCATTCCTTAGTCGTTTCCATTTTGAAATGCAGAAGGTTTGGGTGCAGCTTTGCCATTCAGCCTGTGGAGCCTATCTGGGTCATATAGTAGTTTTATCCAGGGTGGTTTCAGCTTTTATTTTTCGCCCTTTCAGCCGCCTGGACTCCAACACGCTGAACTGTGACTGTGAGCTGCTGTGGCTGGCAGACCTGCTGAAGCAGTACGCGGAGTCGGGCAACGCCCAGGCCGCTGCCACCTGCGAGTTCCCCAGCCGCCTGCAGGGGCGATCCGTGGCTGCACTGACCGCCGAGGAGCTCCAGTGCGGTGAGGACATGTGCCGCACGCTGGGAGCGGGAGACGAGGCGGCAGCCCAGGCGGATTCTGGCTTGTCCATTTTATCTGTGGACGTTCTTTGGGTTCCCCCATCAATTTATGGGATGACATAGAAGCTGAGAGAACCAGACAGGTTTACGCTGTTCCCAGACCTATCCAGCCATCCCTTTTCCATATCACATTCCCAGTACCAATTTCCAGACTCACAAATGGAATTTTGGTGTAAGCTCTTCCTAATACTCCCTCCAGTGTCAGCATGATGGTGAGAGTGTGGTATAAGTTACCAGTCTGGCAGAGTGTCAAAGGCTAACATGTGGCAAATCTATATTTTTATACTCTTTCATTTTCACAGCTGTGTTCTTTGAAGAATTGTGTCCAGAGATTTTCTTTACCTTCCTTGGCTCCCCCAGATATTCTTTCACTTTGATTATACTGCACTAACGTGCCCCCTGAAATGGCGTGCTTATGTCCAGTAATTCCCAGAGAAATAAATGCTGTTGATAGGCACAAAAACTTTAAAACAAAAGCATCTGTTAGCCGCCAGCACTGACAGACAGTCCCTTTTAAAACCGTGTTTCCCAACCCGGCCCCCAAGGGACCCACAGTTGGTCCATGTATTTCCTGCCTCGGAGCTCCCTGCCAGACAGCCCCACTGGAGGGAATATCAGGAGGGGGCAGAAAGTGGGCTGTCTGTGGGTCCCCCAGGGCTGGATTGGGAAACACTGCATTAAAAGAACCTCAGACCCGTCAGTTAATTGTGGAGCTTTACGGTGCCTTTGCCTGCTAATGAATCCCTAATGTCTCCGAAGAGCGAGGCGGCCATTACAATCCCTCCGCGTTAACAAAGCAGCGGCTTTGCAGCTGTTAAAACAATCGCCACGAGTTGCCATACTCGCCGTAGCACCGGGCCCATGACGGGTTTCCGTTCCGTGTTTGTTTATGCGACGCCAAACAAGAATAGCCCTCACTTGCGTAATTACGCCGCTAATTAGCTGTGTGTTACGCGGCATGTGGTGATAGAGAAGCTGCTCTCCAGCTGTGGCTGCAAGCAGCCTTCTGTCATGCAATTGGCAGTCGGTGAAGCTGAAGTTTTTTGGGTTTTTTTTTTTGTAATGGAGGGTCTGAAATTCCCACCCCGACAAATGTGTGCAACACATGTGTTCAAGGCCTGGAGTTCAGTCTCATAAGCACCGTGACACGCTGCATTCGCCATAAACGCCCTGACCACGTTCCCACAAGCTCAGTCTACTCATTGCCAATAGCCTCCTATATGTATGTCCTCTTAATCAGAGGTTAGGTACGTCGTTGTTGGGGTTTGTCGGTGATGTTACGTCTTCTATGCTGGAGAGATAACAGCTCGTGTTTTACAGATATTCTCATCCAGAAGCTTTTTATCCAGCAAACTCTTAAAGTACGTGAAGTACATAGTGTGGTAGATAGATCATTTATTCTGGGACAAGCTCCATCTGTCTGGTTGCGTTGCTCCAGAATTATTGACCCAGATGCAGCTTTTCATTCATCTGTGCGGCTTACGTGTCTCCAGCTGGACCCGACACCCATTCACGTCCACGGGTATTTCACCTGCAGCCAGCTGTGCTAGTTTCCTTCCAGTAAACATACTCCCGCTCTCTCCCCACCCCAGAGGTCCCCAGGATCACATCTGAGCCACAGGATGTGGACGTCAGCTCAGGGAACACTGTGTACTTCACCTGCAGGGCGGAGGGAAACCCCAAACCTCAAATAATCTGGCTGAGAAACAAGTAAGACCATCTCTAGAGCTCAAGCAATGTGTGGCTCTGCTGTCCCCCATCTGAGATTACAGATGAATTGTTTGTTTTCCTGAATGCCCATAAAGGACTGTTTTATTTTTAAGCATATTTCCCCTTTTTCAGTAATTCAAAGCATACGGTTTGCTCTACCATAAACTAATGTAATCTGTATACATTTCTTCTGTCACATGGGTATCTTGCAGCAATGCTCTGAACATGAGGGACGACTCTCGGCTGAATCTTCTGGAGGACGGCACACTGATGATCCAGGACACTAGGGAAACTGACGAGGGCGTGTACCAGTGCATGGCGAAGAATGTGGCCGGGGAGGTGAAGACCTCCGAAGTCACACTGCGGTACTTTGGGACGCCATGTAAGTGTATGACAACCCCATTCCCCCAGTGACATTTATGGCACCCTCAAGGCTCAGCCAAAGGACCTAGCAGCAACATCTGGAAATGCAAAACACATTTCATATTTGCAGTGCCTCCTACGACCATTTTTGTTGTATTCCAAGTATTGTTACCATAAAAGGCTATTCACTTGATCTTGTTTCTCTTCAAATGGGGTTTTGAGATGATTCATTTCTGCTAGAATAGGGCAATAATGCAGTCTGGATGCCTCTCATGCTTTTAATGGCATGAAGTTGTTATACGTAGACTAAGTTATCATGTGGTGTTTAAGGTGTAAATTAGTCATTAAAAGGTAACTAGCACCAGACGAACTGTGGTCCTCAGCACATGGAACTGCACACGTTTGAGAAACGGGAACAACTGGCATGCTTACGTTGTTTACATTCAGTTACTTTGCTGATGAATTTATTTTTATGAGTCTTATAAGTTGGTATCTGTAAATATAATCAGAAATGTAACTAAAGTAAATCATGTCTTCAGATCATGGTCCATAGCGGGCCGCCTTCTGTGATTAAGAGCCTTCTGATCATGTCTCAAACTGTCATGATGCAGAAGCTGCAAGACTTTCTGCATTATAGTGCCAGTTTGACATAATGCTACATTGTGTCGGCTTTGCTTTTGTCAGCGAGGCCAAGCTTCGTCATCACGCCCCAGAACACAGAGGTCCTCGTGGGCGAGAGCGTCACCTTGGAGTGCAGTGCTACGGGCCAGCCCCACCCCCGTATCTCTTGGACAAAGGGTGACCGGACCCCCTTGCCTACCGACGCCCGCATTAACACCACACCCTCCGGGGGCCTTTACATTCAGAATGTCAAACAGAGCGACGGGGGCCAGTATACCTGCTTTGCCAGCAACAACATTGACACCATTCACGCGGCGGCCTACATCATAGTGCAAGGTGAGTTTTCTCTGGGCTGATGGTCACCTGGGTGTCCTTAGTAGGGACAGGAAGTCGCTACACCAAAAAGTAGGAAGTTTAGTTATTCATTTGCCATGTTCTTATGGCTGGTTTCTAATGCCAACCATGCTGACTTGATTTTTTCAGTCTTCCTTTAAAGACAAGGTGGCTTCTTTAAACATGGTATCTTTTAAAAATTGCTAACGTTTCCCTCTATGTTGATCCGTTGTAGCAAAGCCCCAATTCACAGTCACCCCTCAGGACCAGTCTGTGCTGGAGGGGCACACAGTTGACTTCCATTGTGAGGCCAGTGGACACCCCCAGCCGGTCATCGCCTGGACTCGGGGGGGTGAGCATTTCTGCTCAGCGTCTTAATGCACGAGTTTGAGGTTGTGTTTGCTGGGCTGGCGTAAACACGTTCCAGATGAGGCAGAAGCTTTGGGTCCTTGACCACTGTGTTGTGTGGCAGGCAGCCCACTGCCATCTGACCGGAGGCATGCGGTCCTCTCCACGGGCGTCCTGCGGATCGCCCGCGTGGCACTGCACGATCAGGGCGAGTATGAGTGCCAAGCCATCAGCGTGGTGGGCAGCATCAGGCATGCAGTGCAGCTCACTGTCCAGCAGCGAGGTACCACTTCCTGTTTAATTCATTTGACTTCCCGATGAAAGAAACTAGTTGCAGTTTACATTAGCATAGAGGAGAAGGAAGGTCCAAATGTACTATCCAGGCTTAGATTTTGTATAACTTTGAATCACATCAGCTAGTTAGATAAATATTTTATTGCTTTGTTTACTTGTCTGACCTTTCAATAACAGTTTTAAGCAGGAGGTACATTCTGAATGGCTGCAAGATATAAAATCGGCACCACTATGCCAAGTCCTCCGATTAATGATTTAACAGTTAATTAGACTTAATTTAAGGTAACGAGATGTAATTAGTGAAGCCTGGCACCTTGTGCTGTCTCAGTTATACCGCTGGCCTGGAGTCACAACGTTTTTGGCCCAGTGTCACCCACCTGTGCCGCATGGTTTGCCAGCCTAAAACTTGTCACTGATGTCACTGATAACACTCTAGGGCTCAGACTAACAACAAGAATGATGGGACATTCGAGAATATTATGAGGTCCTAACTGGGGAAGAAACGTGCAATAAAAAAGGAATCTGACACTTGTTGCTGTGGAAACCTTACAGCCACATAACATTTATTTCGGCTAAATTCTCAAAGAAAATTCTAATGGGGCCACATTTTCTTGACCTGCCAGCAGTTTTGTCCCCTTAGTGCAAACATTTGTTCCTTTAGTTTATATGACGGTTTTAAAAGTAGCGACATGAGACACTAAAGTCTGGGGGAGCAGCGTTGCGGAGACTCTGAGGGTAATTTGTCATACGCGAGCTGGAAAGGCCTAAAATTACGAAAACAACACGTGCTTAAGGCACAAAAGACGGATAAGTGGTAGGGTCTCTCTCTCTTTGGCTTGATTACAAAGCAAGGAAGCGACCCAGAAAAGCCTGTGTCTCTAATTCCCGGCTAGATGACTGGCTGTTAACACAGTGCTAAAACGCAGGATCCAAAATGATCAAGAAAAAAAAACCTGGTCTTGTTTGTCGGATGCATATGAATCCAATGTGGCTACATAGTGTGGCCATTTATAACCTCATGCTCCCTGGTATTTAGGGGGGGGGGGTTAATGGGGATGTGTGGTTTCTTCTGATCTGGGTTTTTATTTTGGGGGGGGGGGTATTTCTTTTGTTTTGTTAAAATCCATTTTCCTTTCACATATAAGCATTAATATAGCTCTTTGCTCAGGGTTTGAGCCAAGGGTGAGAGTATTGGTGTCTCAGGTTAATAAGTAATCCAAAGGTCGCTAGGTGTACAGTTTGAGGGTTTCCATGGTAACTCGTATGATTATGAATTCATCCTGTATTTAAAAAAAAAAAAACAAAAAAAAAACATAACCCCAGCCTCCCCAGACAAGCGCTGTTTTTTTAGAAAGTACAATTGGCTGGATTACGGCAAAGTCTTAACTCTGTGTCCTAAATAAATATGCTTAAAAATGTGTATCCATTCACGTATTTTAACTGGAACAAGATAAGAGGTATTGAACCTTTTTGCATAGTAAGCTCAAGGTCGTGACACATTTATGCATTTAATCAATTCTATTATGCACAAGCTTTGCCTCTGGATAGGGATTTAGCATTTCTTTTTTTTTTTAAATCACCGCAAGCATTGATGTAATCATTAACACATGTTTTTAAATCATCAGTAACGCCTGTTTTCACAAATGCTCCAAGGGACATGACGGTGGAGTCTGGCACGGATGCGCAGGTTCCGTGCAGCGCTCTGGGAGAACCTGAGCCTGTCATCACGTGGAACAAGGTTAGACGCCTGTCACTCAGTCACCGCGGCGACTGGCGCCCCGCCCTTTGTGCCGGTGTGACAGCTTTCAACCAATGGGATGAAAGCTTGGGCAGAGATTCCTTCTCAGGGCGCTTTGATTGGTTGTTTGTAAGGGTACTTCAGGGCAGGTATTCGTCCGTAAAAAGCAAATTCTTGGAGGTACTTTGGATAGACATGCTCATTTTTGTAATGTTTCTGTCTGTTGCTGCCCTCCGTTCCTCACCTGACTCCTTCCCCCCTCCACTTCCCGTCGGTCGTCGAAATCCCAGGACGGCATTCAAATCACAGAGAGTGGCAAGTTCCACATCAGTCCCGAGGGCTTCCTGGAAGTGAGGGACGTGGGCCTGGCAGACAGGGGGCGCTATGAGTGCATAGCCCGCAACAGCATTGGCTACTCCTCAGTCAGCATGGTGCTTACAGTCCAGGGTAAGTGCAGGTGTGAACGGTCTGCCCAACACAAGGACGGGCAAGGATTCTGGAAGCTGGGTTACTTTTCTGATTCTTATCTTTTCACTGCTGATACTTCCAGATTTTCTGACTGAAACCATAACCTTCTCCCTCCGTAATCTGGTCATCAGCCTTAGCAATACACCCTGGCGACAGCCCTCACCGGGCAAATTCCCTCCCTTTATCCTACAATTCCTGGCAGGGATGTGCGGTGCCATGCTGGCCTGGTCGCTCCTCGCTCCTACCTGGTGTCACTGGAGCACTGCTGTTGCCGTTAGACGTCCTGCAGACCGCTGCTCTTCTCCCACCAGAATTAAGTGAACGTGCTGCTCTGTATTATATTACTCCAGCTTGCGCGCTCCGGTTGCGGATTAACGCTGTCGGTTGGTTTAGCTGGCTCAGTGCGAGCCGAGAAGTTGGAAACTCGAGAGCAATGGCACAGCATGTGTATGATAGCAGCTTGGACGCCAAGCATCTTAGGGTCACTGGAATGTTCAGCAGGAAACGTGGAATTCTCCCTCCACTGGACTATCTCTGACAAATTGCAGCATCCGTTTTTCAGGCTTCCAGTTTTTTCTTGTCCCTAATAAGTGAACCTTTTTTTATTATTATTATTATTTTGGTTGTCAGAGGTTTTTTAGGTTTCAAAGGTCCTGCTTCACATAGAGAGGGTTATCCTCATTGTTTATTTGGTAACACTTTACTTGAGGGGCACAAGTACCTTAGTAACTCAGTTACTACTCAAGTACAAATCATGAACACATGTAGTAACTGCATGAAATGTTATGACTGATTAATGATGAGTGAACATGGGATAAGTATGCAACTAACACTTAGTTTGTGATTAATTCTTTAGGTAAGAATGTACAACTGTATTATTTGTGTCCCCTCACGTAAAGTGTTACCATTTATTTTTTATTAATCCTTAAAATGATGTGATGGACAAATTCATCCAAACTATCCTGCTTTCCTGTCCTCTGTTGACCTGTGAACCTGACAAAACATCTCCTTAAGTCCCTCAGGTGAGTAGGAATGGCGACCTCTTTGTGGCCACGTCCATCCAGGAAGCCATCCGCAATGTGGACAGCGCCATTGACTCCACCCGGAGGGAACTCTTCCACGGGTAGGCCGCCGCACGGTCACATGCCGCTTTGGGTCAGGGGTTAGGAGGGAACTCTTCCACGGGTAGGCCGCCGCACGGTCACATGCCGCTTTGGGTCAGGGGTTAGGAGGGAACTCTTCCACGGGTAGGCCGCCGCACGGTCACATGCCGCTTTGGGTCAGGGGAAGCCAACAGAATGACACATTGACGGATTTCATTTAGGATTTTAGCAGCTGTTCGCTGGCGGGTAACTGGATGTCTGGTCATGGTGAATCTGTGGGATTTGATAATGTTTAGAAATTGTTTATTCATTGATTTCACTGTGGAGGATCTTAGGTAATGTTCTCATATTGTACTTTGAAAAGTTACATACTATACAATACTTTCTTTTTAAGGAAAATAAGTTTTCACATCCATCTTATGGCTTGGTGTCCCAGTGGCTTCCTTTGGTGATTTATCTCGTGCTTCAGTCCTATTTAAATATAAGAGCCGAGGAGGAGGTTCAGTCCTATTTAACTATAAGAGCCGAGGAGGAGGTTAGGTCCTATTTAACTATAAGAGCCGAGGAGGAGGTTAGGTCCTATTTAACTATAAGAGCCGAGGAGGAGGTTCAGTCCTATTTAACTATAAGAGCTGAGGAGGAGGGCCCAGATGACAGCTGTCACGGGATTGGCTCATTGTTGGCCGTGTGCCTCTTGAGCTCAGGTTTGGCACATGCTGCCTCTGGCCAAAGAGAATTTCCTGCCCCTGTTTAATGGCAAATGCAGAAAATCCCCAGAAAACTCCACAAACTGTGGACTCGCCACAGCTATTTTGTGTAGCAGGATGAATGATTAGCTTTGCAAGGTGCCTGTGCTCAGTCTCTCGCTCCAGCACCGGTTCTGGTATTGTGATCAGGCCGAGTCTGGGGGCGCAACTACAAAGCAAGGTGTTTGCTGGATGTGGTCCTTCCTGTCTGCGGATTATCTCAATGTAGGAAACCCTTTTTTGTCCTGCGACATCCGCTGCGGGCCTGTTGAAAAACATTGCGTCCGTGGCGAGCACCCACCCCCCACCATCTGCAACCATGAAGCTGCAGCACATGTCGTCAGCCCCCCCTAACCCTGGCCTCCACCGCTGGATTCTCCAGCTCCATCCCGGGCCACGTGCCGAAAGTTCTCACGAATAAGCTCTCATGCAGACATTCCCGTCTTTTATCCAGCAATGTAATTAGCACAATAAGGTAGATGAGGTGCCTAAACACAACCATGGCGACCGGAAAACAGAACACACATGGTGAGACCAGAAGGTGGTGGTGGGGGGTGACGGTAGGAGATACCAGAGGACAGGGTGGGGCAGGTGAAAGCAACAACAAACGGTTTGGATCAAAGAGGAAATTCAATAGATCCACAGTGAAAATCAGGTTTCCATTGTGCAGCTTTCGGGAAATACGAAATGGAACGAGACGTGGTCTGGCTTGTCTTTGGTGACGTTTTTGCGTGAGACAAAGATCTGGGCGTCTGTGAAATGGCTCTTAATGAGCACCTTGTTTTTCAGTGCCCGGAGGCAGTCCACACTGTCTACCCCAACACCTGCACAACCACTGTGTGTGTTTTTGCTTTTGTCTCGAGCGGAATGGGAACATACTGCAGGAAAGGCAGGATATTTCAGCCAGTATGTAAAATGCAACGCTGACCAACGACGTACTGAAACCTTGGACATGTGGATGGGGTTGGACAGCTTAGACCGGAGCAACGCTCCTCGTTAGCTTGCTCCAGAATTTGTTTTTCCGTATTTTCGGTTGTGCTTCAAAACATTGGGGACTCACTTGCAGCTGCTGTTTATGTTGGCAAGGCACTCAGCGTCTCGGCGTGTAAAAAACGCAGCGTCAAAAATCCCTTAATAAATCACTCCTTGGACGTGGTGGAAGTGGACTGCCCTTGTAAAGGCAACAGATAGTCCAAGAATTTCAGAAATGGGCACAAAGCCCCCAGACAGGTTTTCTGTACGCGGAGGTTTTGGTCACGAATGTGGCCTGTTTTCCTCTGAACCTAGTGTCAGTCTAATTAATTAGCCTTCCTAAAATTAGCTGCTGCTCCAGAAGCTTGTCTTGGCTGGATACATGGCAGAGCTGCTGCTAGGATACATGCTTTCGAAGCGCATTGCTGTCACTGACCTGTGCTCCAGAGGAAATTAAGATCATCAGAATTTAAGGAACACGGAATGCGCAGGGGACGATTTTAGCCAGAAAGGAAATGCGTACTGGCAGTGTGTATCGCTTGTTCTCTGCCTCATGAGATGCTAAAGTCAAGTCAAATTAGTCATGAATAGAACAATGAAATTCGAACGTATAAGGAAGTCTCTCTGGTGGCGTCTCGTCAAACTCAGGAATCCCCGGACCCCCGCGGAGCTTCTGGCCCTCTTCCGGTACCCCCGCGACCCTTACACAGTGGAACAGGCGCGGGCAGGGGAGATCTTTGAGCAAACCTTGCTCCTCATCCAGAGGCACGTCAACCAGGGGCTGATGGTGGACACCAACGGCACGGGTGAGTGGCTGACATCACTCAGGCACCCCCCCTCCCTCCCCCCCCAGCTGCATCCTGACTTATTAGTCTTAGCTTCCATACTTGGATATTAATTGGAGGTGGAGGTGGGGTTCATCAGCCTTTTTAACAGCCATCCACAAGTGGGTCACAGCGCTAATCACCGGTCCCACCAGACACTCTGTCGCCGCGGGTCACAGATGTGAGGACTCTATGTTTTCAATGCTTATCAAAACAAGAGCGCTTATTGTTACCACGGGGCTCTTTGCACAATGCGGGGGATTTCGGCCTGTCAGCAAAACTGCGGCACCCGTCTGGACTGTCCTACCGTGACTCCAGGATGCCGTCTTGTGTTTGTTAGAACCAGATTACTGATGGCCCCGGTTGCGTCAGCCTGGTGCTTATTGACAGGAACATAATGATAACAGTAGTAACAGTAACAGTTGTAGTATTTGTAGTATCTTTATCGCTGGTGATGTTAAATATTAACATTGTTCTATTGCAATGAATGAAAAGGATAATGAAATTGTGCTGACTGCGATTGCGTGTGCCAGTGAATTACCACAACGGTTGTGCCAAGGTAGCTAGACGTTCGGCTGGCTAGTTTTGCACTGTGCAGTGGTACAGTTAAGATTACGCGACGTTTACCTTAAAATCCCCTGAACATCACTTATCAACCAGCGTGTTTTTTGCAAACATGGCAGCATAAAGCAACTAAGGAACATATTTCATATTTGTCGTGTTCTTTGGACATTAACAGAGCTTAATGTTCTTTTTGTCCACACACTTTTGACTAAATAGTTTTGCCGATAAATAAAGCATTTTGTTTCTGATGCCGTGAATACAATAAGAGCAAAGCCAGCAAAAATAGACAAGCCTTTGACTGCTTTATATGTGGGTCCAGAATTTTGGTTTTAAGTAGATGGAAAAAAGAATTGATGGCAGCAAAGGACTGGGCCTCACCAGCTGAACTACTGCAGCTTAGCCTAAGTGTACAGTGATCGATCTCCCCCCATCTTGCTAACCAAGCTCTCCGATTTCTCACCCCCAGCTTTCCGCTACAATGACCTGGTGTCTCCCCGTTTCCTGGACATGATCGGCAACCTGTCGGGCTGCACGGCCCACCGGCGCTTCAACAACTGCTCGGACATCTGCTTCCACCAGAAATACCGCAGCCACGACGGAACCTGCAACAACCTGCAGCACCCCATGTGGGGCGCCTCGCTCACCGCCTTCGAGCGCCTGCTCAAGTCCGTCTACGACAACGGCTTTAACCTGCCCCGCGGCGTCACCGACAGGGTGCAAAACAGCTTCCCGCTACCGCTTCCCCGTCTCGTGTCCACCACCATGATCGGCACGGAGACCATCACCCCCGACGACCGCTACACGCACATGCTGATGCAGTGGGGCCAGTTCCTGGACCACGACCTGGACTCTACGGTGGTGGCGCTCAGTCAGTCCCGCTTCTCGGACGGGCAGCTGTGCAGCTCGGCGTGCACCAACGACGCGCCCTGCTTCCCCATCATGTTCCCACCCGGCGACCAGCGGCAGCTGCGCAGCGGTGCGCGCTGCATGTTCTTCGTGCGTTCCAGCCCCGTGTGCGGCAGCGGCATGACCTCGCTGCTCATGAACTCCGTGTTCCCGCGTGAGCAGATCAACCAGCTCACCTCCTACATCGATGCCTCCAACGTGTACGGCAGTTCTCGCCGCGAGGCCGACGAGATCCGCGACCTGGCCAGCCAGCGCGGGTTGCTGCGGCAGGGCATCGTGCAGCGCTCCGGCAAACCTCTGCTGCCCTTCGCCACTGGCCCGCCCACCGAATGCATGCGGGACGAGAATGAGAGTCCCATCCCATGCTTCCTGGCCGGCGACCACCGCGCCAACGAGCAGCTGGGCCTGACGACCATGCACACGGTATGGTTCCGTGAGCATAACCGCGTTGCCTCCGAGCTGCTGAGGCTCAACCCGCACTGGGACGGAGACACCGTCTACCACGAGGCACGCAAGATTGTCGGCGCCCAGATGCAGCATATCACCTACAGCCACTGGCTGCCCAAGGTACTGGGCGAGGTGGGCACCAAGATGCTGGGCGAGTACCGTAGCTACAACCCCAACGTCAATGCCGGCATCTTCAATGCCTTTGCCACGGCTGCCTTCCGCTTCGGTCACACTCTCATCAACCCGGTGCTGTACCGGCTAGACGAGCACTTCCAGCCCATTGCCCAGGGACACATCGCCCTCCACAAAGCCTTCTTTTCCCCCTTCCGCATCGTCAACGAGGGCGGCATCGACCCGCTTCTGCGCGGCCTCTTTGGCGTGGCGGGCAAGATGAGGGTGCCCACCCAGCTGCTCAACACCGAGCTGACAGAGCGCCTCTTCTCCATGGCACACACTGTGGCGCTGGACTTGGCCGCCATGAATATCCAGCGGGGCCGAGACCACGGAATCCCCCCCTACAACGATTACAGGGTCTTCTGCAACCTCACGTCTGCGCATGCCTTCAACGACCTGAGGAACGAGATCAGAGACCCCAGCGTAAGAGAGAAGCTGCAGAGGTACAGCATAGCTGCTTAGAAAACTATTTATTTTATATATAAATACAGACGCTCCCCTACTTACAAATGAGATACGCTCCGAACGGCCGTTTGTAACTCAAAATGTTCGTAAGTCATTATTCAACATCATTTTAAGGGTATACGCAAGTACAAAGAACTAGGATGCTGGGAGTACGCACGCTACGCTGCTGCGCGGCGGGATTAGAAGTCGTGCTAGGCGGAATTGCCGCACAGAAAAAAAAAATTTATATCGTGGACAGGAAACGGGAGCCCAATGAACACAATTTGGACTTGCAGTCCTCTTCGTTCGTATGTCTGAAAGTCCGTAAGTTGAAAGTTCGTAAGTAGAGGAGCATCTATATATTCATTTACATATAATTTTTCATATAGTCTGAATCTTTGAATTAATTCCATTATAGTTTTCAATGAAATCTACAAGGTATCAAACAGTATCTAACAAGTATCAAATGAGTTACATAATTTCATCCATGTCATGTGAATTTATCATGTTGGGGGGTGACTTCTTTGATATAATGCGTTTCAAACAGAAAAAACAGAAATGAACAAATGAAAATGTTATATAATTATCTATATTTATGACTTGTCCACAGTAGTGATGATAGTTTTTTTGTTTCTGGTCACTTTATAATATGTTTATACTGCAAAACCTTTGGCCCTTGACCTTGGACCACTGATGAGACTCGAACCCACAGCCTTATGTCAGGCCCTTAACCGCTACGGCTTATGTGTCATCATCCGACACTGGCTCTATAGTGACCCCTCCTGCCCGGTGGCCGTTGCAGGCTCTACGGCACCCCGCTGAACATCGACCTGTTCCCGGCGCTGATGGTGGAGGACCTGGTGCCTGGGAGCCGGCTGGGTCCCACACTCATGTGTCTGCTGGTGACGCAGTTCAAACGCCTGAGAGACGGTGACAGGTAATGCTTCACAACCGCCTGCTTGCCCACTTTTCCACATGTGAGAACATCTTAAGATCACTGGTTAAAAGCTCAAATTCATACCTTGAGGGTTTTAAAAATGCCTGTTTTGCTTAGTTGATCGGTGTGTGGGTTCTGATTTGCGTTAGCTAGCTTCCCATCCACAGCTTGGCTGTAATTCTAATCTCTCTTTCTCCAAATAGATTCTGGTACGAGAACCCAGGCGTGTTCAGTCCTGCCCAGCTGACGCAGCTGCGGCAAGCATCCCTGGCCCGTGTGCTGTGCGACAACGGGGACAACATTACACGCGTGCAGTCAGACGTGTTCAGTGTGGCAGGCGTGCCCCATGACTACGGGAGTTGTGACGACGTGCCCAGAATCGACCTGCGTCTGTGGCAAGACTGCTGTGAAGGTGTGTGTGTGTGTGCGTGTTACATTAAAAAGTGGATGCAGGGGATTTTGAATCTCTTTCCCAGCTCAATTCTGCTGTATAATAAAGGCAGAGAATCCAAACGTACAATCCATCCATGCCATGTGACGTTAATATAGTCAGTGTTACATAGTGTGTGGCAGTAGTCGGGTGGTTTAGCCCATGCAAAATCTATTCAACAGATCTAAAAAAATTAGCTGTGATTGTATAGTGTCTTTCCTTGGCAAAAAAAAACCCATTTATCAGAACCCCCCCGTTTCTGTCTTGTATCCACATACTAGATTAACACTGCAGATTGGCTCTTCCTCTCTAAGGCTTGACCGTCCTCCCCGCACCGGCCTTCCGCTCGATCTCGGCCCCGTGCAGCTGAGCACTGTTTATAGACATGGTTTGGGTATTTAGACATCTGCTAATCCGCCTGTAATTAAGGCGAGTGCAAATGGGCTGAGGATGAGTATTTGGCTGTGCTGAAACAAAGATGGTTTACATTCCTCGAGTACTGGGGGCTTTACAAGGGCTTTGCTCAGAGAACCCCCCCTCCCCGCCCCAATGTGATTTGGGAGAACGGAGTGGGTGGAGTCGGCTTCATCAGCTGGCCTGGGTGACGTGGAGACGCTCATGCATTTTTTGACGTTGCTGCTGGGCAGCTGTTGGCTTGGAGATATTATTAGAGTTTCCTGCCCCCCAGCTGCCTGGTTCAGGAAAGTGGCTTGGGTGAATTGTTGGATTGTGTGTCAACATTTCTGAGGCAATTTCCCCCCCACCCCAGCCCTTGGGTGTGCTAGTGTTCCAGCTCTGTCCTGGTTTCTGGGGTGAGAAAACAGGCCGTTTGTGAGCACGGTCTTCACAGACGGTCTGCTGTTTTCTGCTCAAGTTAAAATGCAGCGTCTCAGAGCAGAGTCATTTGCAGGCACTTATGAATATGCTTGATTTGCTGGGGCTCATGGTGTTCATCTCAGAAGTTTTCAGCAGTTTCTATGGTTTTAAGGCTTATAAGATGAGGGAATGTGATAAATGTCTCCTGGGCTTTTATATGGCGGGTCAACTGTAGTCCACAGTACCAGCAAGAATCTGTGAATGGATGTGGGCGGCCGATGGATGTGGACGCCTTTGTTATTGCCTTTGCTGTTGTGCTGTCAAAATCCAGAAGCGTATTTCTGTGCAGAATCCCCACGGCCATCCTGTCACTTTGACCTTTCCATTTCAACCTCTGTGGGGATTCACCTAAGTGACCGCGAGCCTTTAATTTGCACAGGCAGCCATCTGTCCTAATTTTTATGGGAGTTCAGCACCCCCACCAGCATTTGTGGCAAATAATTGCGCTACCTTAATAAATCCATAATCTCACTGCTGAGGCCATATTGCCTTACACCCCACCCCCGGGGGCTGTCATTGCTGTTTCTCTTTTATTTATGGGGGGTTCTGATTGGCACACACCATGCTATGCATCACAGCTGTCAGCATGGCCCCTGCAGCGCTGCTCTCCTCACACCCCCTCCACCCCCCTACCCCCACACCAAGGCTCAGGCAAAAGGTGTGTGCCCATTGCCCATTGACTTCCAAACCCACTTAAGTCACACTGGTCTTCCCAATGATCCCAGCATCCTCTCATTGGCGCCAGTCCATGTCCAGCTGTGAAATAGAGCAATACCCAGCGCAGGCTGGTCCTGATCCCGGCAGTGCGGGTGACAGCACCGGGTGACAGCATCTACGGGTGACAGCATCTACGGGTGACCTGGCAGGAGCAAAGAGTTTTTGAAACTCAATGAAGGTTCAGCAGTTGAAGTTCACAAACTCTTAATGGTACCAGGAGCACAGCTGGGAGAAAACTGCTCAGAGATGGATTAAATTTCATCTATTATTGCCAGTTATCTGTTAAAGTATGTTTGTGCTTTAAAGTCCAAATTTTCCATCTTGTATATCCTATTTTTACCAGCTGTTTCACACAGGACATTGCGAAAGTTTTAAAGATTAGTGACATTTTATGGTGATCGCAGGGCCTTCTGCTCAACAGATTCTTCCTGGGTTTCCTTGAGTTTTAAGGCTCGATGCTGACAGGTTCGCATTTAAATGGACCGGAATGGGATCAGTCAGGGCATTGTTTTCCAATCAGAGTCAAGACTGCAAATATCCATCAGCAATGTCTCGACACTCACGCAGTCCTGGGGCTGACTTGCGCAAAAAGAACCTGCTGTTGCCATCGACAAAGACTTTAAAACCATGCGGAGCCAATGTTCTGTGATGTGGACATGATGTAAAACTCGAATGCTAAGAGAATTCCTGACAGCACAAAAAATACACATATCGTGGCTGATCTGGTTTTGTTCTGGTGTTTGATCCTTCATAAACACTTGTGGCACAAATTTGTCTTGTTTTGTCCCGCTTGCTTCGTCTTTAGGATCTCGATCACAGAAACAGAAGCTCTTTGTAAACTGGCTCGTGCCTCATTCTGTCCACAGACTGCAGGACGAAGGGCCAGTTTAACACCTTGTCCTACCACTTCCGTGGCAGACGTTCTGCGGAACACAGCTTTGCCGAGGAGAACAGCCTCAACGAGGGGGAGGACGTCAGGTAGAAAGCCCCACTCGATCTCATCAGGGCTCCCCCAGTTACTAGAGCCAACAAGAATTTGGTTCTCCAGCCAAACCAGTAAAATCTCTAAATTCCTGTAGTATTAGTTACTAGGAGGAGTTTCTAATGTTGTTACTGTAGGAGCACTGAAGACGCCCAGGATAAGCCTGCGAACACCTCCCTCGCCCCGAAGCTGCACGCTGAACCCCCAGTAACCGACTTCCAGGACTTTGTCACTGACATGCAAAAGACCATCAGGAGTTTACGGAAGCAGGTGAGCAGCCCCGGCACAGCACATGGGATTCATTTCTGTGACCCCGTAAGGCGATTTTGAAAGGTACGTTTTCTAATTGTTTAGACTGAGCATGGCTTGAAACATAGAGGTCCTGCAAGTCGGGACAAGGTCCGATAAAATCAGATCCTCCGTGTTGACAAATAGTTTTACCTGATCTCTGGATCCTCGTTGCACATCTTGGCTGTGTGTTGAAGGTTTAGACAGAGCTAATTTGAACAATGTAGCCTGAGCATGGATTTAATTAACTTGTCAGCAGCAAAACATACTTAAAGGGATTAGGTCATCCACCAGTGCGCCTCTGCCTGGTTGCACAACACGCTCGCTGTGGGGTTAATGCGGCGTAGTCTGTTTGCTCACATGATTCGCATTACGCTGGAATCTTCCTGGATGGCTGCAAGCGAAGTACGCGTCCATGACCGCACTGCACTGACATCTGCGTGAAATCCAACGTAGACCAGGTGCAGATTCTCTCGTGGGGGTTTGATCTTGCGAGTTTTTTGTGGTGACCTCTGACCCCGCCCCCACCCCCTCAGATTAAACGTCTGGAAGGCCGCCTGAGCAGCACGGAGTGCACCGATTCGGAGGGACGGGAGCGCTCCAGCTCCGAGAGGTGGAAGGAGGACCCCTGCACGTTATGCGAGTGCAAAGTGCGTACCCCCATACCCCCCCCTTGTTACCCTCCACTCCCCCCAGCATTGATGCCTGTTTTTCGCCAGCACTTCCTTCTCTCTCTCACTGTCTCTTCCTCCATCTCCCTTCCCAGAATGCTCAGGTCACCTGTTTTGTGGAGGCCTGTGTCCCAGTGGCCTGCCAGCGACCTGTCAAGCTAAAAGGAGAGTGCTGTCCTGTGTGCTTAGACGAGGCAGGGGGCAGCCGGCCGGGGGCATGAAAGCAGGAGTCCCCACGCTGACGAACATGACACTATATTACATGAGAGACCTGCAGGGGGCGCCTCACCCACTGGCATCCAAGCGCCTCAAATTTTTGTTATTATTTTTCATTATTATTTTTATTATTTGTTGGGGTTTTTCTTGGTTTTCATACCCCCAAAGGTTGTCCATCTGGGACTTGGTGTGACCACTGACAACGACACAGCGGTTTCTGAGTCTCCTGCTAATATAGGCGTGCTGTAGCCACTTCCTGCCCCGAGGGGGCGCTGCGCCCATTGAGGGGCCGTCCACACGCACCTACTCACTATGCAAAATCCCAACACTTGGTCAGAAGAAAAGGACTATCGCACTGCAGTCAGTTTGAAAGGGATGCGGACAGGTCACCGTCAGCCATATTGTTTTACAAAGCTTTCTCAGGTTAGACAAGAAAACTGGTGCTATGTCTTAGTTTCATTTTGTTTTGTTTTTTCCCTCCCACTGATTAACAGTTTAGCTACTAATTACAGCCTTACGTATTTGGCATTTTTGTTGTTACAATATGCAAAGCTTCATATATACGTTCATTATGTGCCTTTTAATCTTAAATCACATCTGAAAGAACCTTTAATGATTGCTCTGAAGACATTTTATATATAAAATGACTAGAGTTATTTCAGCTTTTACTAAACTTTTGAGGTGCCTTGTATCAGCTATGATTGTGTATGTCCCTTATTGTATGACTTGTTACACATGAAGATAATGTGAAGACTTTTTTTAAAAAAAAAAAAAACCTTTTGTAATGGAAAAAGAAATCTACTGATTACTTAATTGTTTTTTCCTTCTTCTCCAATTGGTAACTCCGCTGACATCTGTGATGATCATTTGTTTGTGTTTTATAAGTACAGCTTTTAAATGAGTGGTCTGACCACATTTCTCACTAGCCACGTAGATAGGCCTTTCCATGTGTATGACAGCTGTTAAAATCCAGGTCCGCCTCACTTCACCTGAGCTCCTTTTCACCTGCATGTTTCAGTGCTGTCAGTGACTCCCCCCCAGTATTTTTTTAACGTCGCTCAGTGGTGCACCAAAGCAGTATTTATAGCAATACACTGGTCCATTCTCTCCAGTCTCCATGCGATGCACTGAGAAGGGCACTCATGTCCACGCTGAAGGATTTTGGCCATACCTCACTGCAGGCCTGTTTTTATTGCCCGCTGTCCCTCCAAAGTCGAGGATCCGTCTGCCAGGTCATGTGACTTTCTGCAGCACAACATGCTCACTTTGTCCTTAAATGTCTAATGGAAGTCGACTGGAATGGAGGGCTCCTCTGTGTTGCGCGCCCATTGGCCGGTCGGAGGGCATGTTTGCAGGAGTGACGTTCTTTGAGGAAGTGGGATGCTGGGCTCAGTACTGTAAAATGCTGCACTTTTTATTACTTTTGTCCTCAGCGTCCACCCCCACCCCCACCCCCACTGCTCATGGTTTAAGGCGCTGACATCATTTCATTTCCATTTTTGAGAATTTGAGTTTCTGGCTCTCGTCTCAAGAGCTCATGGTGACATGCAGAAAAAAATTATATTAAGGTGACGTTATTTGGCGTGACTGCAGGGAGTAGATGTGAGATTCCACTATAGCCTTGATTGCCCGCTAACAAAAGCCATATGACTCTGTCCTTCTGGGAGGAGATGCTGATCTTTAAGTTTTTTTGTGGGGGGTGAGTAAGGCGCCGTCAAATCGAATGGGGGATTTTGAACACAAAGGATGATTCTGATGAAAGCGCATAGTTCACTATACTCTGAGGGACATTTTTCTAACGTGAAATAAATTCTCAGCATTGCATAAACAAGCTAGCTGCAGTGTGTGATGTTGCGTCTATGAAGCTGTCCGCTCAGACTGAAAGAATTCACCAGGGAGACAGACGTTATTTAGACGGAGGAGTGCTGTTTACGTCAGCCCAGGACCTTAAACCCCTGGCTGTTACTGGCAAGTTACTGTGAGAACAGTCGGCTGTTTCAAGTGAGTCACTAGTGCTTAAATTCATAGTGTTCATACCCTGTAAATAATTTTGTTGCTATGATACTGTTGAATAACTGACAGGCTACAGCTACTTTCCGGTAGGTCACAATGTCACCTTTTTCCTTCAGCATAGACTCATGTGTTAGTTAAGATGTGGTTTCAGAGTGAATAATGTGCAGTATAACACTTGTGTGATTGGGGGTTGGTAATGTATTCACATGATGCTTTTCGCATGTGACGGGCTTTCTTTGTTTTTAAGGTTTGTTTCCATTCCCTCCCCTGCCTGCTTGTAGACAGGCCTATCGCCCCATTTTCTCTTCAGGCACTCGTGTGTTTTTTCTGTTGACCAGCTGACCCCCACGGCCGACTCTTTTGACATCGTGACTTTTCTCCCATTTGATAACAAAGATCTGTTCCATGGTGCAGCCTTCATAACGGTTAGTCAGGGTTCACTCTGAGGAAAGGCCACCAAAATAGCAAACCAATGAATGCAAAAACTGCATTTATTATTTCTGACCACATCAAATATATATATATATATATTTTTAAGCGTCTGTCTCCGAGACCGTCTCCAAGGCTGAGCCTTATCTCGACCCACTGTCCTGCAAGATCGATTGCTTCCCCTACTTTGTTCCAGAGTTTGCATTTGGACATCGGTTTGTATTGTTTTAAAAAAAAAAAAAAAAAAATTGCCAAAGAAATGTTTGCACTGTGATGTATGTTTCTCAGTCCAATTAAATGAACCACACACTCAATAAAGTTGTCACGTTTCTATCCTTCATGGACACTGCAGTCGCTCTTGGATTAATGAGGGAAAATGTAAATCCTGCCCAGTCATAAATGTACGAGACAACAGGTCACAGAACAGCAGACAGCTGTGTGTTTGAAGGTGGCGGCTATATAACTCTGTAATATTTGCAACATGCTGTTTTTTGTTTTTGTTTTTTTAAAAAAGGTGTTTAAATGAATGTTAGCTTTTCTGTTCATTTATTTATTCATTAAAAATTATGTAGTTGGTAAAGAATATTACATGCAAAATGCGTTTTACCCTTTATAATGGCTATGGCAACTAACAGTAATATGCATTTAACAGCTGGATTTAAGTGTGTTGATTCAGGTTAACCAGCATAAAGTTAGATTACAGTTCAGGATCATAAAAGGAAGAAAATATACCTGGTGTAGTAAAGCTGGATAAAAATACACTTTGTCAAGTCTGCCCATCTGTACCACATCCTTCCTTCCTTCCTTTCTTTCTTTCTTTCTCTTTCTATCTATCTATCATTTTAACTACAGGGTTCACAATTACAGTTCAGTTGCGATTTTGAACTGTTGTCTGAAGACATTCTTGTGAAAAGTGGTGACTTTTATTTTTACAAATTAAACTAATGCACCACGGCAGCAGGGCATGCCCTAACAGAGTATCCACATGCCTGTAGAAGCCTCCCCTAGCCCTTCAGCTGAGGATGATTCTTCTGAGAAATGTCTGCTTTGCTCTTTGTCCCACACAGAATCTGTATGTTTACATAGCTGGGGGGGATCCCTTATGTGGGTGGTGGGGGGGGGGTACTTTGGCCAGGCAAGCATGCTGAATAAGTCTTTACCCTCCTGTTTTGTCCTCTCTCATCTCATCGCTCTGTTGTGATGAAAGAGTAATGCGGTGATAGTTGGGGAAGTTAAGTTATGACATCTGGCTAGAAACCACATCTATGGAAAGGATGCATGTGCTGGGAAGATGCAGCACGCCGACACCATCATCTGCGTGGGGCTGTGCTCCGTTCCGTTTCCTGCTGCTGGACACCAGCACACGCTCAATGATTGATGACCCTTTTTTATTGTGTGTAGATGATCATTTGTACTTCACCTTATCCTAGGAATATTGCTCAGTTGTCTTTTTCCAAGGTGTCACAGAATCATTTTTGGTTTTTCCCAGTCCCATTGTGGTCATACTTATGATTCCTTTATCCATTATGCATCTTCTTGTCCTTGGGAGTCTGTTGACAGCTTCACTGCAGGCCAAGTGTTTTGACTGCTGGGAATCTGCGGTTGCAAACAAGTAAAAGTCTGGGCCCTCGTCCATTTTGAAACACCTTTACTGATAATTTGACTAAGGAACCTAAAACTCATAACACCATTGAGGATTCCTTGGGACTTTGGTGTGTAGACCAAGTATATAAAGTTTCTGTGGTCTGCACCATACATATCTGTCTTCGATCTGTAAGTTTTGATCACTTATCAAGGCATGAAATTACGTGATGTGTATAGAAACATCTAATATGGAAACCATGCAGGTATCATTTAATATTTGGAAGAAGGGGAAAAAAAAAAACATCCTTTAAGTAAAATCAGAAAAAGAATTGCTGGGGAACTGTGGGAAACTTTAAGGAAGCGAGGAAGCCATGGCTTTAATTACGGCCCCTGCCGTGGAATCGGTTCATTCCTCTTGTTAACGTTACTGTAATTAGCTGCATGTCTGCAACCTGGAGCCAAAATCGAGTGCCTTCGTGACTCTTCCCTCCACAGCCACATACAGAAAAATGTCCCAGTGTTGACCACTAACCCTGACTGCCTGGAAGAGGAGTGTATGCTGTCTCTCAGGCCACATGGGTCATTGCCACAGAGACGGCTCATAGTTGGCCCTTTAGACAGAACCTGGGGAGGAGGTGGGGGGGGAGGGAGTTGGGCGCATCCAGCCCATTAGGTCATTGTTGCTGTTATGTTCCTTAAAAATATAAGTACTTGTTTGAAGAATAGCAATAACCAGAGTTACACGCCGGAGTCTGACAGGACACGGCCTGTGCCAAAGCGGGGTGGGGGGGAATCCTGTGTGCCAGACAGTTTATTAATCTCTCATGCTTTCAAAATTGCTCCAACAGAGTGAGCAGTCAAGTGTCCTTCCTCCTGAGTCTCTCTCATCTGCGGCCTGGAGGCACACACCTCTTCCTTTGGCCGTGGAATGTGAGATGGGCTGATAATCATGGACAGCCCCCCCCCCCCATTTGGTTAATTGGTTAATTTGCTGTAGGGTCCCCTCTTTCTAAAGATCAGAAGCTGGTAATGAGTTTCCTTCCTGTTTTCCTATACATGTTAACTCATTCTTGCACGTTGACTGGTTGAGCCCTTCTGGAATCAGGAAATGACGACAATTTTACGGTGATATGGGACCTGGGGTATATGGCTGAACACCCCCACTCCACAGAACTAACACGCTACGTCTTTAAATGCCCTGAAATGATGTTGAGCCTTTCATCTGAGATCTCCCAGCTGCCAAGGGGGGGGGGGGGGGTGTGACATGGTGCCTATTGACAGGAAAGCCTGCCACATTCTTTTCTTCCTGTGACATGTTGTTAAACACAGGGAAGCTGGGGCAGGGGGGGATTGTGTCATGTCACCTCAGAAAGTGGGGAGGAAAAAAAATTCATTCTCTTCCCTTGATATGATTTTCTTCTGGGATTAGCTGAGGCCCTTAGCCAAGTCTCACAATTAGGCTGGCCCCAGTGATCTCTACCCATCTGGTGGGCTTGCTGCGAGGGGGAGCAGTGCCAGGATCCATTACCCATACCCCCCTTCCGTTAGCCTCTAAGGGAGCTTAAAAAAAAAATAAGAAAAAGTCCTTGTTTTTCGGCTGGCATTTTGCTGAGGGGTGACACTCTCGGCAAGTCAGGCAAAGTCGACCAGCAGACTTGTGAGTCACGTCATTCATGCTAAGAGTGTCTTGCTCTGTTTGTATCACTTTCTGTTCTGTTCGCCTAATCTCAAGCGGAGTCTTACTCCGCCATTTTGCATCCATGCCCTAAAGATCTTTGAAAGATCGTGTGCAGCCGTTCGCAAGCCGTTTCACCTTCAGACTCTTAGCTGCGTCCTCCCGGGGAAGGTCTGAATTTGAGTCTGCATAAAGATCTGCGCTGCACAGATTTTCGAATCCTGGATTTTGAAGACGGACGCCAGCTACTAGCATGCTGGCAAAACATCGGCGGCGTCATCTAAGTGCTTCCAGGAAAAGCGTAACTAATGAGCGCGGCACTGGCTTCCAGCCCTGCCTTTGCTCACTTTTCACTAATGATGAGGTAAACTCAAGGGTGTTGGCCGTGAGACATCAGTGTGAGTCTGGGAAGGAGCACTGGGAAGACTAACAGCATTGCAAATTTGGTGCTTTATTTCACCTCTCAGAACTGAGACTGAGTTTGCTAGCGGTGTAAAAAGAACTGGGACACCTACACGTATACTGGTCTACTAAATAAAGGGTTGGGAAATCCCAGTTTTTAACCCAGGCATTGTTAATCCCCGTTCCAGGGATCTACAGGGTGTGCTGTGTTTTCCCCCAGTATATTCCAGTCTGAAACCTGTAGGACTGAATCTCTTTGTGCCTGGAGTTGACTCTGTGTAGGGGGGGTCACAAGGGTACTGGCCCCAGCTGAAAGCTGATTAGCCCCCGGAGTGCTCCCTCCCTGTCATTCACTGGCTTAAAACATTTCTTTGGCTAATGATAAGGCCCGCCTCTCTGGATGAATTATGGCTCCTCTTGTGACTCCCACCTTAACAATCCAACAAAAAAAACCCAGTTTTTATGAATCCCTGATATTAAAGTATGACCTCATCAAACAAGTTACATCCAAGACAAAAGGAAGGGTTTAGGTCTCAATAGATCGAGAAAAGCACAGACAACTTGTTTCATTCCTGCACTATTGGTCAAAATTGTGGAAACAAATTTTTTGGCATTACGGTTTAAAAATTAATACACAAATACTGGCAATAATGTTTATAAACAATCAAAGAATGTTTCATATATTATACACTGGAAAATTAACTGGAGCAACAGTTGGACAAAGTTTTGCTATCTCTAAAAACTGCAAGTGTTTCCACACTGAGGTAGTCCTAAGCAGGAAACCAATAATTTATCTTAAAGGCAGAACGAGTGCTGAGTCTCCATGGTGATCTGAAAGAATGTGGAACATTAACTACGTGATGTTCTTGCAGTACGCCTTCCGGTAAATGTGCAGAATGTTTGAACAGCGCAATCTAAGCTGACTGCAGCGCGCTGGACTCACGGGCCATTTCCCACCACGCTAGGAAACAGAGGTCTGCTTGTGCTCACCTCACGCCTGCCCAAACCTAGTGGTTTTCACACTTGGGGTCGCCAACACATTGGAGGAATCCCTGCAGCTGTCAGTGTGAACAACAGCTGTGAAGGACATGTGACCCTCTCAGATACAGGCTGCGAGATAAAGGGTCTGCCATATTGAATGGGCCTAGCTGACAGATAGGAAACAGGTGGGATTATGGGAAGAATCAGGTTCAAATGCTGCAGTAGTTGTTCATTGTGACCTTTTAGAAAAAAACCATAACCATTCATGGCAAAGTGCTTAATTTTTCAAAAAGAATTTTTTCAATTGGTAATTTTTCGTATTTCACAAATGAATTGCATTAATTTTAGAAAGTTGAATCCATTAGCTGCTAACAAGCCTATTGAAAGGGAACAATAAGCACCAGTTTCACACTGAAGTGCACAGTCAGTCATAACTTTTTATCACTTCAATGAAAAAATTGTCATAATGCTACTTTGTCAGCATAAACCTCTGGCAGTCAACATAGGTGATATGTCAAGCTGACACAGGAGCTGCCGACGTCAGCATTTATGATAGGTACAAAAGTTGCGTTTAACCTTTATAAATGCTTTCGTGACGTTATGTCAGCTGTCGTGAAGGGCTTCCGTTTGTGTCATGTAGCCCTATGAAGAGCACCGAACATTTAAAATGCTGATGCAACACAGAACAATAAAGTAAGTGAGAAGAAACCATGTGCTTCAATGCATCCTAAACTCAGTGAACCCACCCTCAACGGTTTTAGAAAAATCATGATTGGCTGGGAGCAAATGGCTACGCGGCCAATAGGCGCCTGCAGCTCTGCCAATGAGAGCTTTTGCCTGGGGGGACATGGCCGTGCCAATGCCTAATCATCGCCGAGGTGTCCAGCCTGAAGTCTTGTGGCTGTTTGTGTATGCAGACGAACATCTGGAGCCGGCTTCAT